TCTCATTTTAATGTGCACTAAACGGACTCTTAGAGCTTGTTTGGAAGAAATTTTAATCCAATTAAAATTGAAAGCACATTTTTTTGTAACGATTCCAAAAACCAAATTTCGAATGGCCCTACTTGTCCCATATCTCCATTCCACCCCTAAACCCACCAAATTCCACCGCAAAATTTGACTCTTTATGATGAAAATCATTGATGGGTTGTCAATTATTCTTGGTGATTTTCATTATTTATCAGAAAACAGATGCAGTTTTAATCAGTGAGAATTTGCACCCTGGTTTTAGGTGTGGGCATGACACGGTTATATTCGAATTTATAGTTACAGTTTAAAATAAGTAAATTATTGAGTCAAATATAGGACAGATTATGTAACTTCTTAACCTGACTTATTTGACTTAAATCACCCAAAATTAAATGGAAGTGCTGTAATGCTCAATCAAATTAGTTTTGTGGGAGGACTGATCATTGAAGAAACAAATTCTTCAATGTTTTTATCTGAACTCCCTCCTATTAGAGGGAGAAGGAATTGAAAATGAAAAATAGAATTCTCATTCAATTAATCGAATGTGTTCCAATGGAGGCTTTAAATAGACAAAACAAATATCTAGCTGTACAGCTTGTACACTAACTAATTTTGGCGCCAAGTCTTGAGTTGAGCTGGACTTAAGCTGGATGACCGTGGTTGCTCTTCTGCTGAATAATACTTCACTTCCACTTATTCTAACACAATTTCCTCAAGATGGACCATGAAGATTAAGAATGGCCATCTTGGAAAGTAAAGGAAAGAAAGAAGAAGCCGGCAAGGCCTTGGTGAAAATGTCAGATGTTTAGAAGGAATTGGTAATAGTTTGATGAAACCATCAGCCACTTTATCACGAGTAAAATGACAATCTATCTCAATATGTTTTGTTCATTCATGGAAAATGGGATTGCTAGCAATGTGGAGAGCTGCTTGATTATCACAGAAAACTAAGGCAGGAGCTGATGGAGTAATCTACAAATCAAGGAGTAGCTGATGTATTCACACTAATTCACTCGTCACGGCTGCCAATGGTCTATATTCTGCCTCGACAGAAGATCTGGAAACTGTTTGTTGTTTCTTTGCTTTCCAAGAAATAAGGGAATCGCCAGGAAGACACAAAGCCCTGTATTAGATCTTTTTGAATCAGGGCAGGAACCCCAATCTGCATCAGCAAAGGCACGAAGTTGTGTAGAAGGAAAGGCTGAGAAGAACAGTCCCTGGCCTGGAGAATTCTTAAGAAACCTCAGAAGATGGTGAATTGCATCAAGATGTGGCTAACGGGGTTTGGATACAAACTGACTGAGTTTGTAAACAGAAAATGTTATATCAGGACGAGATATAGTGAGATAGAGCAAACGGCCAATAAGTCTTCGATAAGATGAAGCCTCATTGTCAATCAACAAATCACCGTCACAAGAATTCAATTTGATCTTAGGATACATAGGTAACACAGCTGGCTTGCAAGCTAAAACCCAACATCCTCCAATAGTTGCAATGTGTAGTTTCGCTGAGACAAGCAAAGACCTTTATGTGATCTTGTTATCTCCAAACCAAGAAAGTACCTTAATTTGCCTAAGTCTTTCAACTTGAACTGACTATGCAAAAATAACTTCAAAGAGTTAACGACATTACAATCTGAACTTGTAATTATAATATCATCTACATAGACCAACAAAGCAACAAACCATGATCCCGAGCCTTTTGTAAACAAAGAGTAGTTTGATTTAGACTGATGGAAGCCATATGTAATGAGAGCTTGAGAGAATTTAGAGAACCACTGTCTAGATGCCTGGCGAATTCCATAGATAGACTTATGAAGTTTACAAACTGCTTTGCCCCTTTTCAGAATATCAGCAGGTAAGTTAGAATATCCCAAGGGTAGGTCCATATAGATTTCTTCAAACAAATCCCCATTTAGGAAAGCATTGTTTACATCTAATTGCACAAGATGCCATTTATTCATGGTTGCAACAGCCAGCACTGTTTTAACTGTAACGAGCTTGGCAACAGGGGAAAAAGTATCAATGAAGTCGAGCCCTTCTTGCTGGGTGTAACCTTTTGCCACTAAGCGTGCTTTGTACCTTTCCATACCTCCATTAGGTCTATACTTGACCTTATATACCCACCTATAGCCAATTGAATGCTTGCCTTGAGGCAGATTGGTCATAGTCGATGTGTTATTTGACTCCATGGCTGCCAACTCATCAGCCATGGCTTCCTTCCAATGCTCATATGCAACATCCTGTTGGTAGGATTGGGGCTTAATGTTTGCAGAAACATTAAGGAGAAAAGTTCTATGTGAATGTGAAAAGCAATTGTATGATAGGCATTTAGTCAAGGGATAGACATAATTATTGTCAAGAGGTGGTTTATTTGCCAAGAGATTGCAATGGAATTCTTGCAGATAAGATGGAGGTTTAATGGTTCTAGTAGATCTTCTAGGTGCAAGGGAAAAAGTGGAATCACTATTAGGACTTTGATAAGGGTGAGCAGAATTAGAAGAAGAACTGGGAGATGGTTAATTGGAAATGTTATTACCTATTGCTGAATTTGGTGATAAATGATGTTCAAAGAAAACATCATTATTAATGGAATTAGATGTGCAAGAGGTAGGAAAATGAGCAATTATATCAGATGTGATGTTTAGCAGAACCACATCAGGGAAAGGGTCTATTAAATCTGATTCAGATTTTATTGACTGAAAGGGGAAGTAGTTTTCATGAAACACCACATCCCTAGAAACAAGAAACGATTTTGAAGAGATATCATAAAGCTTATATCCCTTGATACCTGGAGGGTATTCAAGAAAAATACAAGCTTAAGCCCTGGGAGAGAATTTAGTTCTGTGAGAAGGCAGAGTTGATGCATAGCAGAGGCTACCAAATACTTTAAGGCAATTGTAATCAAATGAAGTGCCATAAAGTAAAGAAGAAGGGGTCATGTTTTTGAGTATTGGAGAAGGTGTTCTATTTATCAAAAAGGTGGCTGTAAGGACACAATCTCCCCAAAATTGTATAGGCACCCTTGATTGGAAGAACAATACTCTTGCTACATTGAGCAAATGCTGATGCTTTCTCTCCACAACTGAGTTCTGCTCAGGCCGTTCAACACAAGAGAATTGATGAATGATGCCCCCAGTTTCAAAAAATTCTGTGAACTTTAACTCCTTGGCATTGTCTGACCTAAAGGTCTTAATGTTTTTGTGAAACTAATTTTTAATAAGGGCAATGAACTTGGGTATGATAAACCTTGCATTAGATTTTTGTTTCAACAAATATATCCAAGTAAAATGTGTACAATCATCCACCAAAGCAAGGAAGAACCTTTGACCAACATATGTAGGGGTTTGGTAGGGTCCCCATACATCACAATGTATCAAGTCAAATGCATTGTTTGATAGATGATTATTTGAAACAAATGAGAGTCTTCTTTGTTTTGCTAAAGGACACACTGAACAAGGTATTGAATTATTGTGCTTAAATCGAATACAATCAACATGTAATAAATCCTTCAACAATTCTAGCTTCTGGTATGACAAATGCTCCAGTCTATTATGCTAAATTTGACCTGTTACATCATTTGGTACTGAACATAAAAGTTGACAAACATTGTTAGTTGAACTTGAATCAATCACATAAAGATCTACTTTCCTCTTACCCTTGCCAATCATCTTCAGTGTTGTCAAGTCCTGAACCAAGCAAGATTCAGTTAGGAATTTAACACATAAAACATATTTCCTTGTTAGGGCACTCACTGACAACAAATTGAACTTGAATTGTGGGACATATAACACATCATTTAGCATCAACTCAGAGGAGAGTCTCACATTCCCAATCGACTGTACAGGTACTTGATTATGATTTAGCAGTGTGACGTATGCATTTTTAATAGGCTTTAACATATGAAAGGCTGATTTATCAGAACATATATGATTTGTAGCACCTGAATCTACCACCCATTGCTTTGAAGAAATAAATTCTGGATTAATTGAGATGGAGAAACATATACCTAAGTCCTTACCTGAGCTAGTTCCTATCTCAGATTCCAGCTTGGCAGCCTTTAGGTGAGTGTTCAGCATACTCATTAGATGCTGATACTGAGTGGAGTTGAGAGTTTGCACAAAATCACCAACATTCCCACTGTCCTGCTTCAGATCTATAACAGCAACATGCTCAGAAATTTGATTCACCATAGCTAGATTACCTGGACCATTCAAACCAGATTTCTGCCTATTTCTATATCCTGGTGGGTAGCCATGTAGTTTGTAACATTTATCTATTGCATGACCACTTCATCTACAGTAAGTACACACTGGTTTTTCCCTTCTTTGGATCCTGTTATATTGCAGTCCAAAAGCTTTCTTCACATCATTTTGCCCAGATTTCTTATAGTTATTTGGGCATAAAATGCCATTGAACTAGCCGTTCCAGACATCTCAGCTGTTGTGCCAATTTTTCTTTGGTTCTCCTCTTGAGCAACCATTGTAAATACTTTATTAATAGGTGGAATGGGATCCATCAGCAATATTTGTGCCCTAGTTTGTGCAAATGACTCATGTAGCCCCATTAGAAATGACATAACATACTCCATTTGATGATGTTCCACTATTTTCTTACTTCCTCTGTAAACACACTTACCACATGCACATGCAAGTTTGTAGTTGCTAAGTTCCTCCCAAATTGTCTTCAATTTGGTAAAATAAGTGTTGACAGTAGATTCCCTTTGTGTAAGGTTCATCAATTCACATCTAAGCTGAAAAATACGCGGACCATTTCTCTGCTGATACCGCTCATTCAGATCTGTCCAGATCTTGTGTGCTGATTCTATGTAAAGCACACTAGCAGAGATCTCCTTGGACACTGAGTTGAGGATCCAGGATGTAACAATGTTATTGTTACGGATCCATGAATTGAGCAACTCGTCATCGTCTTCAGGTCGTGAGATAGTACCATCAATAAAACTTTGCTTATTCTTAACAGATAAGGCAATTACCATTGATCTGCTCCAGGAAGCACAATTCTCATTAGTCAATGGTTGCGAAACCAGAATCAAGCCAGGACTATCTGAGTGATGAAGGTAGTACGGATTAGATCCAGGATTAACTAGTGCCACATTATCCATAGCCAAGCTACTGAGGTATTAAATCGATGGAATCTAACCAGAAATAGAGAAGATAACCAGAAATAGAGAAGATCGAAATCAGTTATGGTGTGCAGCAATTGCGTGCTCTGATACCATATTAAAGGGAGAAGGAATTGAAAATGAAAAATATAATTCTCATTCAATTAATCGAATGTGTTCCAATGGAGGCTTTAAATAGACAAAACAAATATCTAGCTGTACAGCTGTACACTAACTAATGTTGGCGCCAAGTCTTGAGTTGAGCTAGACTTGAGCTGGATAACTGTGGCTGCTCTTCTGCTGAATAATACTTCACTTTCACTCATTCTAACACCTCCCTTGCAATTTCTTTCCATTTTTTCGCATTCTTTCTGATCTCTTCGCCTCTGTCCTCCGTGACATTCTTTATGCAATGAACAATCTCTGTTTGTTCGACTATACCTTTCGTGTCTTGCCTAGCCATGATTCCCATTTTTCGAACATCCTTAACAAACTTTGCATTGTGCTTTGGTCAGTCCATTGAGGCATTGCTACCATAGGAACTCCCAAACTCAATGCCTCCAATGTGGAATTCCAACCACAATTTGCGATGAAACACCCTGTTGCCTTGTAAGCCAAAACTTTTAACTGTGGGCACCATGACACAATTAGTTTTTTCTTGGACTCTCCTCTGAAAAGTTCTTGGGAAGCTTAGCTTCTTCGTATGATCTAACCACCCACAAAAAGTACTCATTGCTCGTTTTTTAGCCTTGTGCCAATTTTTCCATTTGCTCAGCTCCTAGATCAACCAAACTTCCAAACGAAACATGAGATGACCCTTTATTTATAAGGATTTACATGAAAACTTAGTTTAAACAAACTAAAATTAAAAAGAATTCAAAATAGTGCTAAAACTTTAAAAAAATAGTTTTCGAGTCATAAACGAACTCGGATCGCTGAAATCCATTGTACATCATGGTATAGCCATGAATATTACTCGTATCGTCGTCCTCTTTTCGGAATGATATTATGAGATCAAATCGAAATTCGAATATTCTCTCTCTGAACTATTACTTTTTCCTCTTTTGATCCAATTCTTCAATAATATATTCTACATCACTGTACATATGTCATGAGCTATACTTATTTATGAAAATTAAGCACCAATAGGACCTTTCATAACTATTATGAGGTGTGCTATTAAAAAAAAAATTCAATAAATGAACGTGTCTTGCAAATCTATAATTCAAAATGATTGCATACCTTTTCTTCCAAAAAAGCATTAATAAGAATCCAGTCTGATTTCTCCAGATTCTGAAACTGATTGAGAATTGGTTCAAAAGTTGCAGGGTATGATCTATGAACATAAACGAAAGAAGGCAAATCTGAAGGTTCCAGTACCGGTAATCCAGGAGTATTCACATTTCTTTCAGTCTCTGAAAGAAGAAGTTTCAGCTTCTTCTTATACACATGGTAATAAATACTGTCCACAGTACAAGATTGAATGAAAAATGTAGCAGAAACTAGGCCAAATTTCTTGGATACATCAAGACTCGATGATAGAAATGGATCATAAATATACAATCTACAACAGAATCTATTTTGTGCTTTTCCACAAGTTCTGATAAAGTTTCTATTCCAACTAGACGAAACTTATCCAGGTATGCTTCTAAACTTTCGGCCTCATCCCTCTCTCCTTCATCAAATGCATCAGAGATTGTTTCCAGGGAAATATGGATGAATCCGAAAATTCTTGTACGGTTTTTCGAAAGAATTTTGTTAAGACTAAAGTGGTTCTTACGCCTTTATGGCTCAATATTTTGGCGAATTGGAGCATAGGATTTATGTGTCCCTGGATTGGATATGGCTGTGGAATTCCCGAATTGAAAACCATGGCTTCATCAAGAAGATTGAATAAAAATAAGAAATACAGAGAGAAGAGATCAAAACAGAGAAGAAAGAATTCGGCAATATTATTCTTGAATCTAAAATGAATACACCTGTCAAGTATATAAAGGAAAATTACATCATTACAGTTAGAACAACCTAACAACAACATTAACTACCTAACTGAATCTAATTACCATGCCAACAGAGCTGATTCCATTATCATCCGGTTGGTATGGAACTTGATGACTTGGTTGCTGTAGAAGGAGTTGAATCTGCTGCATCAATTGAATCAGCATCGTAAGATCCCCCCCTCAAGAGGGGCATAAATGTTCGAGATGCCCATCTTCGAGATATTTTTGTGAAATACGGTAGAACTAAAGGGTTTTGTTAAGATATATGCCAGCTGATGTTGTGAAGGAACATAAATGATTTCAATTAATCCAAATTGTAGTTTATCCCGTACAAGGTGACAATCTATCTGAATATGTTTGGTTCTCTCGTGCTGAACATGATTATGAGTAATGGAGAGGGCTGATTTGCTATTAGTATACAAGAGTGCGGGTTGAGAATGATGAACAACCAAATCTTGTAAAAGATAATCAAGCCATTGGATCTCACAAGTTGTAGCTAGCGGCCGATATTTGGCTTCGGCACATGATCTGCTAACTGTAGGTTGTTTCTTGGATTTCCAGGAAATTAAGGACTCACCAATGAATTCAGCAAAACCAATAACATTTCGCCTAGTATCTATTAACATCAACAAATCTTCACAAAAATATATGATGGAGGAAAGTAAGGAATCATTGAAGACAAATTGATCAAAACGATTGATGATTATGATGATGTGCTTAATTTTACGAATTGTTATTTATCTTTACATATTTAGGAATTGTTATTTATCTAAGATATTTT